GAATATTTGAGATGTGTTTGGAGTGGACTTTGCCTTGTATGGATGGTCGACAGTGGTAATAGGAAGGAAATATCCGGGTTGAGGTCTTGTCGGGTACGCAGGGGCCGGTTCTCTTCAGATATCAACTGTTAATGCGTCTCATATGGTGAGAGCGAGAAACCTTGATTTAAAACATACGGTGGTACCGCTCTCTATTGGAGCGGGCTACAAACAGTACCGTCAGTGACTTTCCGGTGTTCTCTCTTGAGAAACAAGAGAGGGCACTGCGAACGCCTGACGGTAGAGCTGCGAAACCATCACCTGCACTGATTAAGCCCTCACTGTGTGGTCAACAATTCCGACCGAATTGACAGGACCGTGGCCTTACCGTTTTTGTTCTGCCCAATAGAGTCCAGGATCAGCTTTGCGATCTGCACAGTCTAGAATATAGCGATTGGTTTCTACAGCCTCTTACGCGAAAAGAGTTGCAATATTTACAAAACGTATGGTGTGTACTACTCAGCGAGGATGTTGGAGTCTCAGCCAGCCGATGTCTTTAGCGGGCTTGTGCTCCGCTGGGTTATGCGGACTTCTTCACAGAAGCTAACCTTTTTAGTGATATGCTTAGGTAGATATCAGCACCCACTGTTGGGTTACTAATCGCTGTGTTAATGTCGTTTGCACGCCCTAAAGGCAATGCTTGTGTTACATATGGACGCTTCGTACTAATAATTAGCTGCGAAATCCTGTTGACAAGCCGGTGTAGTAACTACCAGGGTCTCCTTTAATAAAGGCGTCATCCGTCTGTGTAGACTACCCCAGCCGTGGTAAATACGGTAGGGTAACGTGTGATAAGGCTGCTAATTTTTTTTATTTTAAGCTGGGTAAGTGATGCACAGAATCAATCATTTTTTGCGTTTTGCGTGAGAAGTAGGTGCATAACTTCGAAAGTACCGAAGCCGTGGGATACCATGGCAGAACTGCGCATAACTTCGGAAAACCAAATCAGAGGAGAACTTAGATCCGAATATAGCTGGTAGTGGTCGTTGAACACTAAGTCGAACTTTCAGTAGTTGAGCCAGACTAAACTGCATGTTGCTATAAGCTGTGGTACAAACCAGAACATTGATTGACGGTGTCCAAGCCTCTACCATTGGTTCACAGCCCTTTTGACTGGTCGGTCTCGGTCGGGATTTTCCAGCATTGTGACCGGTTGTTCGTCGATCAATTTTCGGGGCACGCTCGTCCCATTGTGACTTGCAGTGCACTATACGGCCCTTGCAGTCGTTAACATATCGTCCAGTAAGTTCCAATGTGGGATGGGGTACCGACAAAGACAAGGGGAAGAGTATAACTGTTCCGCTTATATCGGTCTTAACTAGTGGGCCATAGGAAAATCCGGCTTTGAATAAGCTGGCATTGTAACCCAGAGTTCTCGGCCGTCGGGTGCGAATTCGAACGCCAAACAATTAGGCCACGGGA